TGTTTGGCAGGTCCGGGCTGGGGATTCGAACCCGCCACCTTAGGTGTACATGGCTGGCGCCTTAGCCGGTTGAGCTATAGGCGCCGAGCCACACTTTTGGCTTTAACATCATGATGTCTGCATAGTTAGTGATGAAAATTATTTCTATAATTTCCTTTTTAAAATCATTCAGATAGGTTTTATTAAACTATTTACCAAATTATTATTTTGCATTGGAGACTTTCAGAAGCTCACAGCAGCTGATGATAAAACTGCTCAGGTGGAAGATTTTCTGCAGTTTCTTTATGGTGCAATGGCCCAGGATGTCATATGGCAAAATGCGAGTGAAGAGCAGCTTCAGGATGCACAGCTGGCCATTGAACGAAGTGTGATGAACCGGATTTTCAAGCTCGCTTTCTACCCTAATCAGGATGGTGACATACTTCGTGACCAGTGAGTACTTCTGCACTTAGTCCCGATGTTGGTTTATGTGGGGATCTTTCAAGTAGGCTCATATTTTAGGCAAGCTATGCATGTAGCTCAGCATCTGACAGTAAAGAGAAATGTTACTATTTTCCACTCATTTGCTAATACCCTGTTTCAGGGTACGTCAGTGAGGATGGAAGGAGTATACATTGGTATGGCCTTTTGGGATAGCACTGCCATTTACTCTGCCTCAGATAGTTTTCTTTTTCTTCATGTGATTAACTCTTAGTTACCCTTCAGACCTCGACTCAAGTATCACTTCCCTGGGGAAACTTCTCCTAACTAGCTCTATCCCCATTAGGGCTCTCTCAGGCATGTGCACCTGCCTTTATTACTTGATGTGGCTGCCACTGAACATTATTCATCTCGGTTTCTCAGCACAGTGGGATTTTAGGCCAGATTGTTCTTTGATGTGGAAGCCTGTCTTGGGCTTTTATAATGTTTACCAGCATCCCTGGCCTCTACACACTAGATGCCAGAAGTTCCCCACCAATTGCAACAACTAGCATGTCTCTACACATTGCCAAATGTCCCTTGTGAGGCAAAATTCTCCCCTGTTCTTGATTGCTGATTTGTGTAATCATTTGATGAATGTTCTTTTCCTGACTGGATTGTCCCCTCCATCAGGGTAGGAAATAACATTTTTATTCACCACTTTGTCACAGTGTCTGGCATGCACAGTGCTTCAATTCTAATATACATGCTCATTATATATTAATTAGGAGTGAGCAGTTATGTATTTGAATATCAAAAAAATGCCTAGAATTCTATGACAAGTGAATTATATTTCAATAAAGCTGTTTAAAAAACCAGACAGACATGAACATGGTAGCTCATACCTGTAATCCTACCACTTTGAGATGCCAGGAGTTCGAGTCCAGCTTGAGTAAGAATCAGACCCCACCATCTCTACAAAAAATGAAATTCAGCCAGGTGTGGTGGTGCGTGCCTGTAGTCCCAGCTACTCTGGAGACTGAGGTGGGAGGACTCTTAAGCCCAGGTTACTGTGAGCTATGATGAGCCACTGCAGCTTTAGCCTGGATGATAGGGCGAGACCCTGGTCTGGGAGAGAAAAAAAGTTAATCCTGAAAAAAAAAAATCTAGAATGGTTATTAACATTGGTTTTCTTGGAGTAGTCAGACTGTGGAGGATTTGGCATTGTTATTTTTTCCTCTTTATATAGATCTATATATATACACACACACACATATATGCATACATATATATGTATATGTGTGTATAGGTACGTATATATGTATATAATATAATATATACATAAATGTATATACATAAATATTTTTTTTTTTTGTGACAGAGTCTCACTTTGGTACCCTTGGTAGACTGCTGTGGTCTGACAGCTCACAGCAATCTCAAACTCTTGGGCTTAAATGATTCGCTTGCCTCAGCCTCCCAAGTAGCTAAGACTACAGGTGCCCGCCACAACACCCAGCACTTTTTAGAGACAGGGTCTCGCTCTTGCTGGGGCTGGTCTCGAACCTGTGAGCTCAGGCAATCTGCTGGCCTCAGCCTCCCATATACTGGGATTGCAGGCATGAACCATTGCACCTGGCTCTCTTTTTATATTTTCTTGATCACTGCTTCACAACCCTTTTTCTGCTTCAAACTTGTTAAGTTGTCACCATGCTTCCCCAAAGTGAAAGATGCTTCTTGTGCCAGTTACTCTCAGAGGCCCATGTAATAGGATCTCAGGGTAGGTTATTGGTTTATATAAGATTTTCTTTCACAGAAAATTTTAAATGTTGCATATATATTTGAGGAAATTTACTTTCCTGGGAAATGGATTAGGATCATTCCAACCTGTGTCCTTCACCTGTTCTTAGTCTGAGAGGCTTTTGGCCCATCTCAGGCTTCTGTACTTAATATGCCAAACAGGGCTTGTTTTAAGAGCACTGGTTTTTGGCTTCAGGCATAGGAGATAAAGAGTGGGGACATTATTCAGACTGTACTGTAAAGAGCAATCTTGAAGCTGATTGTTCCTACTCCTCCATGGCAGTTTTGTACAGTGGAGAGAACTAACACAGTGCCTAGAAAGAACATTAGCAGCAGGAAGCTGGGTATAGGCCCTGCTACTGACTCCTGAGTGGCCTTAGGCACATCCTTCACCTTTTTAAGCCTAATCTCTTCATCTACAAAATTCAAGGTTGGGTGAATGCTAAAGTCCTTTTTCCATGTGAGATCTGTGATCTTTGGCTCGGCACCTGTGGCTCAAGTGGCTAAGGCGCCAGCCACGTACACCTAAGGTGGCGGGTTCGCATCCCCAGCCCGGGCCCGCCAAACAACAATGATGGCTGCAACCAAAAAATGCCCGGCGCTGTGGCGGGCGCCTGTAGTCCCAGCTACTTGGGAGGCTGAGGCAGGAGACTCACTTGAGCCCAGGAGTTGGAGGT